TGATTCAAAATAACTATAGCGTATCCTTGAAATGTATTCCTGATTAAATTTTGACGATTTTCCGTTTATCAAAATTTTCCACGAAACTTAGAGTTTCTAAATTATAAAAAGAAGTAATTAACGAACGACGGGCCGAGTACGAGAGGCAGACAGGGGCGGCGCAAGGCGCGACTCACCGCGAGCGCTTACGCTGAGCGCTCAGCTGATCGCTGCACGTGATGCATAATACACACACGCGACACATCTCTCTGCCTCTCTCTCTCACTCGCTCACTATTTGTTTTATAGTTGAAAAACTAAGCTTCGGAGACTCGGCGAAGAGAGAAAGTTTCAGAATTGTCAGCAATACGACATTTCTCTCACTTGCCTTATTGTTGTTGCTTGTTGAGAGAGATGGATGTATCATAAAACCAATATTTATTGTAACGTCCACACAAACTTTACGTACGTAGATATCAAATCACGTTTCCCCTGAGACACTGAGAGTCCACTGCTGAGTAATTAATCGGAAACTTTTTTTCTTTATAACCATTACGTTTCATACATTTTACGTTTTATTCACTCGATTAATAGCAAGGAATGTACCAATGTTTCTATTAATCACTACCGAGTAATTATTCGATGACAAAAACTGAATTGCAAAGAAACACGCAAGATACACAACACGTTTCTAACACGCAACACCTGTTTACTCGGGGACAGCAAACAGTCGACTGAGTTTTGTTACAAACAACCTTCTGTTAGCAGCAGTCTGAAGTAAAAATCAGTCGACTGCTAGCTGTCGTCGAGTAAACACGTGTTGCATGTCAGAAAAATGTGTTGTGTACTTTATCGTATGCTTCTTTCTTCGAGTGATTTTTAATCACCGAATACTCGGTGGTGATAAATTAATAGAGTCAGTGACACATTTCTTGTTTTATCAATCGAGTGAGTGAAATGCAAAATATGTGAAATGTGTGAAATTAATAGTTATAAAAAAAACTTCCAATTAATTATACTCGGCTGTTGGCTCTCAGTGTTTCAGTGGCGCGTAATTCAACATCTACACTGAAAAAAATTTCTGGTTGAATATGGACGAATCAGATAATTCCTTTAGGATTTACCAGAATTCCTTTAGGATTTACCAGAATTCCTGTAATCCTACAGAAATTCTGGTAAATCCTAAAGGAATTCTGGTAAATCCTAAAGGAATTATCTGATTCGTCCATATTCAACCAGAAATTTTTTTCGGTGTACATACGTAAAGTTTGTGTAGAAGTTACAATAAATATTAGTCACCCATCCGTTTTTCTCAAGAAGTTACAATAACACAAAGTCATCGAATCTTTATAAGATAAGTGAATGAAAGAAATGTCCTATCTGTTCTTCACTCTCATCGAATCTTTACAAGATAAGTGAATGAAAGAAATGCCGTATCTGTTTCTCACTCATTTCTCAGACTATTTCTCTTTCCAAAATTATCTTCGAAACATAGTTTTTCAATTATAACTATTTAGTGAGTGAGTGTAAGTGAGAGAAGCAGAATCGGAGAGAAATGTGTATTATCGTGTGTAGCGATCAGCTGAGCGCCCCGCGTAAGCGCCCGCGGTGAGTCGCGCCGTTCGCCGCCCCTGTTTGCCTCTCGTACTCGGTTATTCGTTAACTATTTCTTTTTATAATTTAAATATTACGCTTCAGAGAAAGTTTTGGTAAAGGAAAACTCGTCTCGGAATTCAATCAGGAAAACGACAAAGTTCAACGTTCAAAGACACTATGGTTATTTTGAATCACCCTGTACATCCAACGAATAATAATCTTCTTTAATATTTGCGAGCGCAATAATTATTATCATTTAACACGGCAAACTTAACGCTCCTATTGTTAGCACTTGCGCAAAAACCATTAGCGTAAACCATTACGAACTCATCGACTAGCCCGTCATAGAAAGGACTTCAGTGTGCCCGATGTAGAATAATAAACGTGCCGCAATTAAAACATAAATAATAACAGTTTACATAAATAATCGTCGATATCGATGCGGCCGTTAATGAAACGCTGTTAATTATTAGATTTATTCATTAATAATTGCCAAGCGGAGTGATGAGCCGAGCCGATAATTAACGGGGACAACGTAGCAGAGTGGACGAATTAACGCGCGATGAATCTGCAATTAGGAAAAAACCGCCGTCGATTCCACATGGGCATTCGTGTAACGCACAGGCCCGCGGAAGCGTAAAATATGGACAAATCGCTCGTGTGTTTCGGAAACTTTGTTTGCGCATTAGGCGGACAATTGTATCAAGATTAAAGATTATCTCGATAGGGAGTCATTAAGTAAGCTGCCGTCATTTGCCTCTAAATTATTAGCAATCGCGCGTGTACATGCGCCTCGGCGTTTCTATCTCAAGCCACGTTACATACATAAATTTCTGCTCTCTAAAAGTCAATCAGCGGGTTATCACTGAAAACAGCGAATAGTCACTGATTTACAATTATAAATTTACCACTGGGACTTTCAGCGGTATATTTATAACTGCAAATCAGTGACTATTCGCTGCTTTCGATGATAATCCACTGATTGACTTTTAGAGAGTGTAGAAAATTTGCATTGAGATAAAATAACGTGTAAAGTATTGGTAATATTTTACACTCCTCGGAATCCCCCTCTCTCTCTCTCTCCCTCCCTCCCTCCCCCTCCCTCTCTCAGAAAAAGAAGAAAAGAATTTAGACGGTCACGCGGAAATTAGTTAGTACAGTAGTCAGAAACGTATCCTTAAGCCCACGTCAGACTATGCACTGAAGATTGAGATTTGCGAGCTGAAGATTAGAATTCGATCAACCGGATATGTTTAATTTTAATCCGCTTCGTTTTGTCTAATTGAATTCTGCAATTCCCAATCCTCAATAATCTGATACCTTAAACGCCCGTTTTGAAAGCGTGACACAAATAGTACAATTTGTAGGTAAAATATATGTGGATTGTGATTTGGAGCAGCTCCGAAATACGTGCGCATAAAGAAATCACACAGTCGCGAAACTTCACGAGTGATTGACGTGAACCTGTGACGAAGTTTATATCGAGCAATTGCATCTGGTTAGCTAAGCAATATGGCACACGAGCTGCTCGCTCGGCAATCGCTCTTTTGACCTATTCACACGTAAACGTACTCGCTATTTGGACGGAAATCGAGCCGCCTTATTTCGTCACATAATTAATACGAACCGTCAATTTTCCATCGCGAAGTCGTGGAAATCGCGTAGCGCGAAACGAATACGAAAGCGCCGTGTGTATTAACACTTCCCCTCGTCCGCCGTCGACTCATTAGGGCAGCTTTCGCAGGGCCAGGTAACCGGCACGATTATTGCCTCGCCTAAAGCGTCCCAATCAACGGAGCGTATTCTTGTATAGATGCGCGCGTGTCAAGGGACGGATGGGCATAAACGGATGCCGAGGGAGAAGAGCGAACGTAGAGAAATAGAAGATAATTCTCGTTGTTCCGCGCTGGACGCCCGCGAGGCGCCTACCACTTCAAAGCCACGCCGCGCGCGCCCATTCGCCTCTCTCTCTCTCTCTCTCCCCCTCCCTCCCTCCCTCCCTCCCTTCCTCCCCCTCTCGCCCCGTCTCTCTTTCTCTCTCCACCGAATCGTAGCTCTCTCATCGAACCCGGTGTCTGGCAGTTAATGAACTGCCCTTCGGCAGTAGCAGCGTACTCGCCGTCTAGGAACCCAGCCAACCGCTGTAGAACCATTATCCATTTACATAAAGGACCGCTACAGAACCGGAACTGATTATATAGGATTTAAGCCGCGCACCTCGCCGCCTTTCTCTCTCTCTCTCTTTCTCCGATTGTCTACCTTCCCCGACCCCGGGTCATCCCGGGTTAATAGTTTTATTGAATGCGGCGCGACTTTCGTGGCCCCTGCGCTCGCGCAGGCACCCCTGTTGCGGGCACTGCCTGATTACGGGGCGATTCGCGCGCGTTAAATACTCTTTGTGCTCGAAACCACCACCCTCCTACCTCGGCTCGTGCGATTTTTATTAGGGGAATTAAAGATTGCGAGGCGACTCGTCAATTAGTGCCGCTCGGAATTGAAAAGAGCTCGAAACTGGCGCGCACGATTTTATTACAAGCATATGTATAGATTTATTGAGATTTTTATTTCGCTCCGCGATTTATTTGATTAAAAATTCTATTTGTGCGCGATGTATTTGTACGAATCGCCGGGTAAAATATAGATTTAATATCGCGTACAACATTACGAGAGGTTTTATCGTTTATCAATACATGATTTTTTTTACGGTCACAAATGAAACTCTCTACAAGATACGGCGCGATATAAAAATTCATAAGCGTGCCCATCCGGGCGGATATCTTAGCCGCTATCGATGACAGCGGGTACAAATAACGCAGCCGCACATACAAACGTACATCTATCACGGACGAAGCGTATATCCGCGCGCGCAGGAAAGCGCGGTATATCAACGTCATAAATTATGAATAAGGGAGCCCAGCGCGGCGTAGCCGCGTAGCTGCCGACGTTATGGATCGCACGAACTTGTTACATCAATTAAAAATCAGCACGATAGACGCTAGCCTTGGCAGCGGAGCGATAACTCGGTGATACGCGGAGCCGTATTGAACGGAGCGGGAGAACAAGAGACAAAAATGACGGCTAAAATTGCAGGAGCACCGCCGAAAGCACCACCACTACCGCCACCACCGCCGCCGCCGCCGCCACCACCACCGCCACGTGAGGGGTGGTTTCGTCCCGAGTGGCGACATCTCTCCCGGTCCGCTCCCGTCGTCGGGCACAGCTGATGCTCGCCAACAACGACAACACACAACAAGCTAGACTAGCAAGCAGCGCCGCGTTCCTCTGACGTCGGTGCGGGCCCGCGGGTACAGGCGGTAGCGCACTCGCACTCGCGCGCTACATCGTCATCCCCCCCGGGACGCGAGTGCGGTCGCGCAAGCCCTGTCCTCCTCGCGGAGGCACCCGGTGCCTCCTCGGTGCACTCACCTGAACCATTGATGTGTGCTGGCACGCGAGACAGACCTCCTCCCCTCTCGCTGGTGGCAGCCTGATGGCGTAGTCAGCCGAGCCGGATTGACGTTCACCGTACATCCGCCGTCGCCTAGGCCGTCGCCGATGGTATCATCGACTCCGATACGCCCGCGTACGACGGAGCGACGACGCGCGCACGTCGCGCGCTGACACGAGCTGACCGCACGCTCCACGAGCCGATCGCACGCACGCACCCTCGCACCCTCGCACCCTCGCGCGGCCACGCCCGCGCGTCTCTCCCGCCGCGCCGCGACACGTTAGAGATGAACCCGCGGGGTGAGAAAAAATGGGGAAGACTCGTGGCGTTTATTTACGGATCCCGGAGCCTCGCGAGTTATCAGTCGGCAGCGGATTTCTCTTTCTTTCTCTTTCTCTCTCTCTCTCTCTCTCGCTTTCTCTCGCTTTCTCGCGGGTGCGTGCGACTCGCGGCATGTCGGCGGGTTAATTCCGCGCATGCGGCGAGCGCGCGCGCAACCGGTGGATCGATCACCTTTACGGTTGGTAACGCGCGGTTCTCTTGTTATCCGGCTAGACAGAGACTCACCCCCGCGATAAGGGTTGAGCGGGATAACCACGGAGATCCCCAGATAAGAGTTCGGACGTCTTCGATTTTCTATTGACTGGTCAGTTCGGGACCGCTGCATTAAAAAAAAATAGAAGATTGGAAAGGGTATTGATTCTTGAGAGAGAAATGAAAAATTTACTGCGGATAAATATGTATTTTTGCAGTAATTGAAATGTTCAAGTTTATTTATTTTTTCTTTCAGAAGTCATGCCTTTATATGATACCATAACTTCATAAAATAATGTCGTTATTTGTCCAAATTCTTAACTTTTAAATTTATAAGCATGTCGGAATCGGGGGTGTAATTTTATTTATAATATTGTTCGAAGGAATAAAGGATATATAAGAGCCAAGATAGGCTTTTCAATTTATTGCGAAAAATTCAAATATTAAAATCACTTATGCCCGATTTCTTCACATCCAGTTATGTTGCGGTTAAAGTTAACCAGGAGATAAACTACCAGATCCATGCACGTGATTGGCTAAAACTTGAGATTAACCTCCGGATAATTTTATCGGGAAGTGAAAAAATCGGCCATTAGACACTAACATCCTGTTTTGGCTCTTATATACTTTATTCCTTAGAATTGTGATTTCACGTCAGAGCCTTATGAATTTTATTGTTTATAATATTATGTTTGGAGAATTAGAGAATATACATATATGTATTAAAAGATACGCGTATGCACATTAAAATATACAGCGTATAAAATTATGAATATAAAATTATTTTCTGAAATTTAATGCGAATTATAAATCGCTTTTATTTTGTCTCCTGCGGTGTAAAAAAGAAAATAATTGATTGTCTATTCAGGTATGCATACAGCAGGTTTCTTATAATATAATGTGCGATTAACTTTATTATAATTTATAACTTTGGAAATAAACGCGCTATAAAAAAGATAATAAAAGTTTTGCACGTTCCACCAAGTGTCACTTATGTGCATATGTTTCTGTTGCGTCAAGTATTTATAAATAAAATACTTTTAAATAAAACGTTGAAGAATCGGAGACGACCAACGCGACGTAAAATAAGAGAGATATTTAGATGAAATATTTCAGCATCGATAAATTAAAGAACGAGTAACGTTGGCGCTTCTCTGCGAAAATAATTTTGGCCGTGGGCGATGAATTGTTCAGGAACGGCGCTTGATTATAGAAGCGTAATAACGAATTTAGCCGCGACCGTAGTGGTGGAATCATCTTCCCGAATAACAGTAGCGCGTTTACATATTCAGGCGAACAACCACAGTACGGAGGGGACGAACTTTACAGTAGCAAATTTTCCAGATCTTTAAGTTTAACTCGACTAGAACACCAATGTGGATTACAGCCGATAAAAATGCCCTTCCAGTGCTCATCGGCTCTCAGTCATCTCGTTGTTCCTGGCAAGCGTTTTCCACACGATCGTCGACTGAATAGAAAAATTTCAGACCCGTGAAGGCAAATTTACGATACTTAACGATTAGACATATAGAAGAAAGTCCCTTATTATGAGATAGCTCAGTTTCTGCTAAATTAAACCATGCATCATCTGTTGATTCCACCATGAATTTATTGCCCTTGGAGTTAAATCTGTTTAGTGCGCTGAGAAAAATGTTATTAAAATGACTAAATACAGTTAGTCGGCAGTATTTCTTTAGTTCAAATACATATGTTTTTAAGTTAAACGTACAGTGAACTGATAAATGTTTGCTTGGTAGCAAGAAATATTTCTTGATTCAACACGTTTTTTCTCAGTGTGGAAAATTGATTATTAGATCGCGTAATCGTTGCTATAAAAGATTTGTGTTGGAATCTAGACGTTAGAAACCTACTACTTCATATTAGAATCCTATCTCATAAATCCCACTCTCCTCTATGGATATAATACTCGTGTCCAATCGCATATAACAACGCATTGCAAAGATATGGAAAACGCGTTACAAAAATGTAGAAATTACTTAAGGGGACGCAAGGCAAAAATGGAGAATGCGATTAAAATGAGAAAATTAAGCGTATATAAGTTACTTGTAATAATACTTTTCAGATCTTCTTATTTCTCTAAAAACGAAAGACGCCGATGTACGATTCACATTTCCTTTCGTGACAACACTTCAAATTTCAATCTTCGATAATAGCAGCGTTCCGGACTTTAGATATATTTTGTAATAGTCGCTTACACGTGTGCATTCGCGTTTTTCGCTCATACATATTACGCATCGTGATTTTCGCCGCAGCGTCAAGGGGGTAACGATATGGCAGGCATACGAATCGCCGGATAACATTATGTGAATTATTTATTTGGATGGAATTAAGTTTAAATATTTTATCCTCAAACTAATCTCCTGGGTACGGGCGCAATTTATTTACGGATACCTCGTCGACTCGCCAGCCGAGTCTCGACAATATAAACGTTCGTGCGACAAAGTGTGCGAGTTCTTGGTGGAATCCGTTACCAGGTCGGCTAGCCCAGAAACTCGGATATCGCGACACGATTGAAAATAAGACTGTCCAAGGAAACAGATAATCGATATTATATCCGAAGTAAGATAATTGATAAACATAAATTTTTAAGCGGAATATAATTAATCGGTCACTTATACCTCTACTAAGGAAAGAATTAATTATATTTTGCATGCAACGTGCGTTGAAAATTTTGCTAAAAGAATAAAATTATAACAATTGTAACACGTATCTATCCTAGTAGTTTTACGATACATATATAAAAGTTTTGAATTTAACTTTTTAAGCACGCACATAGATATCTTTTACGATCAAAATAACAAAGTTTCTTTTCCAAATAAGTTCTAGATTTTATCTGTAATAACAGCTTATTTAAATTAATTAGGAATGTAAGCAAGAAACAAAATATTTTCAACAAGTTATACTGAATGTTGTATCAACCGGCTGGTTAACATATGGTCTTAGCTTTGGTCTTTGTTTGTCGGCAGGTTGTTGTGTACACAAAGTTATCACACCCGCTGACATTCGAGCAAGCAGGTAGCGGTACGTGTCGTTCCAATTGTACCTCTTGAAGCGCGACAAGGATCAAAGTACTAAATGCTATCATATCTTAAGATTATACTGAAAAATTATCTTACATAATTATGGGACGAAATTCTCTCATATTATAAACGAGAGTGCTGTGCAAAATGTCACGCGAAAGACTTTTTTTATAATTACTCCACAATAATTAACCGTAAGTATGTGCACAAGTACAACGAACAATTCTAATTCATTCTGCGGGCAGAAGAAAGTCTATAAAAAGAGGTACTGAATGCCGGCAAAGTATAATAACATTGAGATAAGTTATTAATATCTTTATGTTCTTCGGATCTACAATAGGTGTAGTAAGACTTAAACTGTAAAGAAATTGATTAGTTACAGGCAGTTATTCTTCTTACTTTCGATTGCACATAATTCGTCGATTTCTTATGGTTTAAAAGCTAGTTTATGCAAGGCTGTGATTGTTAACTTATGCCAGAATTGGTAAAAATAAACCAATTATAGTCAACTATTCTCCCCACTTTTAACGGTGACTGGACAGTTTTCACCGATTCCGGTATAATTTAACTGTTACAGCTTTGTATAAACTAGCCTTAAGACTCATTATACTATATATATTGTGGACTCGGCCTAAGGGAGAAACTGTACGCTTATTGGATATCATGTATCAGGGTGGCGTCACATGGAGCGTAATTGCGTATCGCCAATCACAGAACCATTTCGACGGAATTATTTAAACAGTTCTATCAGAATGACCTGTGATTGGCGATACGCAGGTCACGCTTACACAAGTTACGCTCCATGTGAAGCCACCCTCATACGTCGCGTTATCGCGTTCTCGCGTTGACAAAGTCTGTATTCTAATCTCGTCGTTATTTTCATTAGTCTTTGTCCCATATCTCTGGCGTCTCATGCTGTTACGCTCCAAGCATTTTTATTTCATGATACCTTCTTAGTGTAATATTTTATTTGTCGTTGCGTTTATTTCTTAAACTTTACTGATTAAGTTTTTATGTGCTACTAGCTTTCAAGAATTCTTTTGCGACGAGAGAAAAACAAATTGAAAAGTGAGGGGAATTGATCTGCAGCATTGGTATTTAGTAGTATTAACAATCCACATATTTTCTCCGATATCAACTTTGGTTACGATCCTGCATGTTACTAGACTCGTTGGGTTAACTGGAGCTTGGTGAAAGTTGCCCATAATTATTTCGATTTTGCCTCATAAAAATCGAAAATCGATTAATTGACTGACAAAAAAATCGATGAAATATAATCGATTATTTGAATCAAAGAATCGACATCTCCGATTAATCGAAAAACATCGCCCGTCCCTAGGCCGAAGTCGATCCCGATCGCTGGCGCTATCTGCGGCGATAGTCTTACAGTTTACATTGGTTGAATTCTTTTGAAGAGAAGGGGAACACTACCGTGCTCGGAGTCGCTTTCCTACTGCCCACATATCTTCTTGTCTCTTTCTATGTCTGGGAACTCGGTTTTGATTTGCTGCTCCGTCCAGTACTATATGTCGATGGCAGTGATGGGAGATTGAAAGGAATCGTCTGCTACAGGAGACTCCGTGCGCATGCGTGAGGTGACGTAGCAGCTCGAATCCAATGGTGGATGTAGGTGCCACGTTAAAGGCTGGTCTACAATACATGGAGTAAGCTGGAGTAAGGAGTA